ATATATATATATATATATATATATATATATATGTATGTATATGTATATATATATATATACGTGCTGATAATTTGTCTCTTCACCTAATATGCCAGAATGAAATACCACAGACACAACTACACAATAGTGACAGCACGATATAAATAGTATGCTCACTTCTTAAACGACCCCAGACTCCAACTGATTTGGGTTCGTTTGAGCAGTCGTCCAGCTTGTGCCATTTCCGTGGTTCCCGTCCCCGTCTGATTGGTCCCGTTCGTTTGGATTCGTTGTTCCGATCCACGTGACCCGGTTGCGCTGCAACGGGGTTGGACACTCCTGGACATCTGGTCTGCCGGTTGCGGATGATTGTCGTATTCGGAAACGGATGAGCAACTGCTGGTACGAGTTCGATGAGTCAGACACGATTTGACTGTGACGGAAGACAGAGATAAAATGTTAACGAGATGGATTACTTGAAAGTTCAATTTATGAATTGTGTGCAGGTTGGAGGGGGGGAAAAGTATCTGATCATCAATGACAAGGCAGTGGAAAATCAGATTACCTCGTGGAAACGCACTTGACATATCACTCCCCGCAGCTACATAACAAACCATTGTAATGCCCGGTGTTTGGGGATAGTTTCCATCATTTCTAAAAGAGAAATGAAGCCGGAAATCATTAGGAGTGAACCAGACTATGTAGAGCGACAAAGTTTTCCACTTCGTGATTAACGTATTTATCTCCTCGGTTGTTCTCGGTCAGAATTATGTTTCATGTAAGGTGGATGTGCGCCAAATGAGACAACCAGCTCACCAGCAGAATGAGTAATTTTCTGTACTGCCATCCGATCGATTTGGCCCATAAGTATTAGGCCCGAGAAATCTTCCCCTCGAGACTAACATCAAGCTACGCGGTCTGTTACAACTCGCATATCTGTTGAGGACTCATCCTCATCGGTTAGCTTAGCACATGGTGTGGTGATCGTAACTCACGGGATACTGCCAGCCGCGGAGCGATTCGTTACAGTTTCTGGACAACTTTGATGAGTCAACCTTCCCAGATGACACCAGCCAAGCGCCTACACGTTTTAGCTTCTGGACAACAAATCACAGGAGAATCGTGCCGACCAATCAGAAGTAGTGCGATTCAGACAGAAGCTATATGACGTCAAGAATGCAAGCACGCGATTGGTTGATACTTGTACAACCAATAAACTCCCTTTATACATGTTATTTAATCTCACTGATTTCTTCCAATAAGAAAAAAGCTACTTCTGTGGTCTTTTATTTGCGTTTCCGTTCAGTGAGATAACAGCGTGCAAGTGCTAGTGTGATTCCGCTTTCCAGTTGCGCGCGTGATTCGTCATTCATGATCTGTGCTCACGTCAATAACTACACATGGTTAAATGGATTGAAGAAGCAAAGTGAAACACTCCTGTGTGAAGCCTCAAGTCCAACTGAATCTCTCTTTGTTTGAAAACCCCAGAAGATGGTTCGTAACCAGGAGGGAGGTGTTGGGTGGGGCCAAATGTTTAAATTGTTCAATCATTTTTATTGTGTCTATACCTGTCCTATCAAAAATTCAAAATGGCATACGATCAGATCACGCGTAAAATGCTCCAAGTCTGTTAATCGCACAGTTCTCTTGTTCTCAACCCTTCTTGCTTAGGTTTATTCCCATTTCTTGACCTTTGTGTGCCATTATCAATGCACAGTCTAAAACCAGACCGGTGATCAAGCGTATACATTTGTCTATTCAAGAACTAAGAAGGAAGTGAAAGACATTTACATTTGCATTTTACTGAACGTGTTCATGAAATCATTCATTGAGATACTTCTATAAGAAAATTGTGGTCCATTGTCAGCTTCCATTTCAAGCGATCGACCATAGGATACTGCAGAACATTTGACCATTCAACAGTTCCCTGTGCCTGTTAAAAACCGAATGGGCTTTTCCAAACATTCACCATCTTCATTGGACCATTTCATCGTATAATCGTCTGTTCGTATGTGGTCCCTATTGTTTCAAACAGTCCAGCTACACTCTTCCGTATACCCTATAAATCGTAATTCCGAATTAGAGGTAGAGTGGTGATTCTAGCGTGTAAATTGCGCTTGTTTCAAACGACACCACCAGACCACTAGTAGGAGATCTACTCTACCCCGAGACTTTCCGTCTCGATCATACGAGGGATGGCCAAAAACGTTTCTGGATGCACAAAACGTTTTATTTTTTACAGAAAAATAAGCATTCAGTTTCAGTTTATACAAATAATAACCATGCACACCTTGCGTCGCTTATGATTGCTATCTTTTGGCTACCCACTTGGATGGACAATAGGAGGAAAACAGGAAGGGTGAAAGCAGGATCGAAGAGAAAATTGAAAAGTTCAGTGGACTTATGATAATGGCCTCAGATGCGTGTAATATATACATAAATATATATATATGTATATAAACTCCACTTAACATCTCTGTGCATTTCTTCATGACTCATTTTCACGCCCTCTGGCGACCTCCAACCTGGAAACCCAACGGCGAATAAGGTGTGGGGCGGAAGACGACATTTGGGTAGGTGTACGTAATACGTAACGAATTCAAACTGGGTTTAACAATCATTTTTCCTTCAAATCATGACTAACTGCACATTGCCTACGCACTCATTCCATCTGGATTGCGCCAAAAGTAGCATGAATCAGAAGATCTTCTTCACAGTAATTTGAAGTTAAATTAAATCTTCACCCACAAGTCCGTTTAGTCAAATGTGTGCCTTCCAAAACCAAAGTCTACGAAACTGGGACAGAAATCAATCATCATAATTTCTCGACCCACTAAAAAATTTAAAAGACAAATCAAATTTTGAAAAACTTGGAGATACCTATATACATACATACATACATACATACATACATACATACATACATATATATATATACATACATACATACATACATACATACATACACACACACATACATACATACATACATACATAC